GTCCTCGCGTCTCAAAAGTGTCAACGGTCACAAGGATCGGGGGGTTCGTGGTCGCGAAATGAAGAAATGTCGTCACTTTTGAACTTGGTCGCCAAACGCAGAAGAGAGGAGAGAGGAGAGGAGAGAGAAGAGAATAGAGAGGAGAGAGGAGAGAGGAGAAGAGAGGAAGAGAGAAGAGAGAGGAGAAGAGAGGAGAGAGGAAAGAAAAGAGAGGAGAGGAGAGAGAAGAGCATAGAGAAGAGAGAGGAGAGGAGAGAGGGGAGCAAGAGAGAAGAGAGAGGAGAGGAGAGCGGAAAGAAGAGAGGGGAGACGAGAGAGGGGAGAAGAGTGAGGAGAGGAGAGAGGAGAGAAGAGAGAGGAGAGAGGAGAGAGGAAAGAGGAGAGAAGACAGAGGAGAGGAGATAGAAGCGAGGACAGGAGAGGAAAGAGGAGAGAGGATGACCTCGGACCTAAGTATCCTGATTGGTTTCGCGCGTGGGGTGTCATTATCCTTGCGGTGTACGTGTCGGTGTCTGCATTCGGGTTCGTGGATCCTATCAGGTTTCTCTTGTCAGTGCCTGTACAGTGCATAGTTTCTGGAACCTTTCAAGGCCTACAGTAAGGCTTTGTGCTCTCTGTGATTGAGCTCAAGCCTCCCTTTTATGCGCGCTGGCCATCATATCCTGATGTGCTATGCCCCCGCCTGTCTCTGCAGCCCCCGGATCTTCCAAGAGGGACAGCACAACCCACCCCTTGGCACAGAGGTGTGCTCCAATAGCACACAGCCGTAGCTTTTCTCGCTTGAGCCTCGCGCAACGCCCGGCCTCAAGCGTAACAGGCCAGTGAAAACACACAGGAGAAACTCGAGCGAGTGGTCAAGAAAAGAACCTGCCTCTGCTCAAGGGCAGCATGCCTTCACAAGACCAGTCTTTTGCATTGAGTACCCTTCAATTCGGCATAAACAAAGTCAGCACAGCCAAGTAGCACTTGGCTGCGCCGACGTGGCACTCTCAACCAAGGCCTCACACGACAAACATGATTAAGCTTGACCGTAACCTTCATTCTTTGACCGCTCAGGCTGTCACAGCCCATCTGGAAACGGCTGAGACTCCTACGGCTGCCCAACGAGCAGGACATGCATTGGCCCGACTGAAACACGAATTCTTCTGGGGCCTCGTAAAGCGGCACCGTAATCCGTGCAAACTGCTCACCAACCTGCATCTGGGAAGCACTGTGATCACCGATGAGCTAGCATGCATAAAAGGGAGGGCCCAAGCACGCTTGTTTTCGCGCGTTGAAGCTGCACAGGTTTACGGTCTCTCGACCAGACAAGCGAGCTTCCCTGCCTGTTCCGCCCTTCATCCAGAAGCATAAGTTGCAAAACTGTGAGCACGCAGGACTGCGTACAATGAAGGGGCAGTGTCAGTAGGAGAGCGTGCATTGTGGTGAGCAGGGCGTGAGGGACAGCTATGAGTCAACGAGCAGACTAGCACGGGGCTAAAAGTGGCCTGCTTCACAGCTGATCTGGGAGCTTGTCACGCCTTGCTCCCGAGTGATGCGGAACTATTTCCATTGATTGAACTTCCCTGCTCGCCTCTCAGATGCAGCAAGGTGCATCGAGAGCTCAGGCAAGGAAAATCCATCAAAGAGAGTCTCACGCAAAGCATCAGGTGCACCAGGCTCAGGCAAGGGAGCCAGTGCCGTTCATTTGCCACCTTAGGCGCTTGGCATGTCAACAACACCTACGGCCCAAAGACTTCAACACATCCAGCAGTCGAGCAGAAGACTATGCCGCAGACGGAACCTAACAGTTATGTAGGGCTTGCGCTGTCATCGGCCCTGTTCTCCTCAGTTCCCTTCTCGGTATCGAGGACGTCCCCCTGGGCCGGAAAATCGAAGCTTGCGGCCTAAAGGTAGAGGCAAAGGCAAACTGGGCTGCCAGCAGCCGTCAGGTAATTCCCTGAGGCGCCAGAAATCTCAGCCTCTGGTGAAGGTGCTGTCCATGCGTTCAACATTTTGGGCAGTGGGAGCTCTTGCAAATGAGCCGCGGCTTTAATTCCCACATGGATTCATGAACCATATCAACCACCTTCTGCGACGGCCTTCCGCGGAGCTTCCTCGAGTCTTGGGTGTAGTCTTGTTGCTTCCGCCTTCCGCGGCTTCATTCCGCGAAGCCTTTGTGGTTGTTTGTCAGGACCTCGCTTCCACGAGTCTTCCGCGAGTGGGCCTCGA